TTTTAAATAAACTTATTTAATCTCTCCACTCGTTAAAACAAAAAGTACACAAATAGAAGTTATTTAAAGCTCTTTCATCATTATTTTTTAAAAAAGAAACAACATTCTTACCATTACATTTCTCACAAGTTGTTTTTACAAGTGGTAGTGTTGCATCTGATCCTATGTATGTATTTTTTCTTTTATCATCTACTTTATCTCTAAATGTCTTTTTATATAGAAGAGTAGCATCTACTTTCATTGTTATATCACATGTTATACAGTAATGTAATAATTGTTTCTCTTCCTTTTTTAAATATAAAATGTTATTACATTCTTCACAGTACTTTAATGCCATTTGTTTTTAATAAAAAAATTTTTATTTAAAAACACTTTAATGTTTATTAAATAAAATTGAATTATCAGTTTATTTGATAAACATTTAATAAAATATGCTTTTTATATTATAAATTTTTATTAATTAGTTTATTAATTTTAATATTATATTTTAATGAATAACTAAAATATCAATATTAAATGACAGTTCTTTATATTTTTAAAAAGTATCTTTTATAAACAATTTATAAAAAGTTTTTTAAATTTTTTGATCAAGAGGTAATAATTTTATTAAAAAGTTAATTTAAGTAGAATTTATTTCAAAAAAAATAATTTTTTTAATGAAAAATACAAACTTAAACAATCTAAGAGATGGAATAGCATATGCATTACCTCTTCTAATAATGGGTATAATATCAGGATATTATATCAATGTAATATTTAGTTTATGTTTAAATGGATCTACAACGCTGCAAAAAATCCCAGGTATTAATCAATGCCTAGGTATAATTATAATTATACTCTTAACAACAATAATCATAAATCTAATAAATGTATTGTACAATTTAGCTATGAAATACATTTACAGTGATGATATTGATAAAGATGAACTAGAAGATACTATCTTAAATTACGACAAGAAAATAATACAGAACCTTTTTAACAGTCAATTTATTATTTTAATAATTTATTTTATTGCTTCTCTTGACACAATTAATCAACTTTTAATAAGAACTGTTTTATTTATGTCAAATATACTTTTTGATATACTTTTACCTGATTTAGATGATTCTAAATCTTTTAAATACTTATATAAGACTATTAACTTTTTTATCACTATTAGTATGTTATATCTTTTAAACCCTCAAAATTTAGGTCAGTTTGCAATTTTAAGTTCTATTAATTTGATTCTTTTATTCAGTAAAGAATACTTTCTAACTAAGGAAACTTCTATTTTAACTAGAAAAACTGCTTCACTCGCATATTTAAATTTATGTATTTTACAAACATTTGTTTTGGCTAATGAAAATTTAATAACAAATACTCTTACTAATTCTCTTGAAAATTACATTAATATTGTTGTATTAAGTGGTATTATTCGTAAGATTTTCGATACACTCTTTGCAAAGGAAGAAAATTAATTCTATAAAATTTTATCATTTACATGTTTTAATTTTCTTTAAAAACTAGTTAGTTTTATTAAAAATCTTCCTTATATAATTTTTAATTTAGTTTAAAATTATATACTGTTTAAACAATTTAATTTAAACTTTGATTCTAAATATTATAAATCAAAGAGTATTTTTATAAAAAATTGAATTGTAAATTATATAATTAATTGTTCATTCTATTTAATTGAAACTGTACCTTTATTTAACTTTCAAGCAAACAAACAAAAAATATAAAATTTTGTTTGTAAAAACTCATAAAAATAAGTATTTAAAGAAAAAATGCATTAGAGCACATGATTTTCGATTTAATAGCAATAGTTTTAATAATCAAGAGAACGCTAGCTTTAACAGCATTGTATACAGATGCTGATACAAGATCTATATGTTCTATTAATTTGAGCGATCCTTCTATTAGAGAAGCCATGGTTTATAAAGATTTAAATGGTGCTATACGTATAGCTGAAAGAGATGTTCCAGGTGGTGAATGGGGACAATTTGAAGTACTTACTGGCAACCCTGTACACAAAAAATTAAGATTGGTTAAAACCAATGAAGATAATTATCGTATAGAACCACATGTTAACATGGCTAATCCTCAGATGAATTCCAATACAT